ATTTTTAAACAGATGAATTTAATTTACTAATATATCTTATTTAACACAATATATCCAAAATATTATCATTATAACGTGATATTTTTTAAATAGTTATTTTACACTCTGTTTCCTATGTCTTTGAAATCCACTTGAAATAACACACACCCCAATATACTACTACACAACGATAATATCTTTTTTTTTTTTTTTTGAGGCAGTGTCTTGGTCTGTTGCCCAGACTGGAGTACAGTGGTGTGATCTCAGCTCACTGCAACCTCTGCCTCCCATGTCCAAGCGATTCTCCTACCTCAGCCTCCCAAGTAGCTGCAGTTACAGGCGCACCCACTAATTTTTGTATTTTTAGTAGAGACAGTTTCACTATGTTGGCCAGGCTTGTCTCAAACTCCCGACCTCAGGTGATCCGCCTACCTTGGCCTCCCAAAGTGTTGGGATTACAGGCATGAGCCACTGTGCCTGACCTGGGGTTTTTTATTTAAATTAAACTTAATTTAATTCAAAATTCAGTTCCTCAGTCACGCCAGCCACATTTCATGTGTTCAGTACATGCTACATGTAGGTAGTGGCCACTGTATTGGACAGATCAAGTCTGGATCTCCCTTGTGTTTTACCATGGCACACATCTAGTAAAAGCAAAGGTAGATGACAAAGGCCTTCACTTCACTTACCTTTGAGCAGCTGTTCCTTCCACCACTTTACATACATAAACCCCAGAACTCACATCGGGGAAATCTGGATAATGTATTTTCAATTCTTTACTAAGGCTAAGAGAAGTGAGAAGATTAGAAAACAATGAATTAGTCTTCTGAGCCCTGGTAAAAGCCTGAGACTCTTAGTAGGTACTCTGTTCTGCTCTAGGCTCACAAAGGCCAGGGAAGATTCCATCAAGCTAATCACAGTCATTCTCTTGGTTCGGGCTGAGCCTCTATCCCAAAGCCTAGAACCACTGGACATTATAAAATACAGCCACAATGAAATAAACTATGTATAGTTAGTGCTGACACAGGCAGAGGCAGATACATACGCTGAGACAGACAGGGCCTAGGGTCACAAGAGTACCTGGCTGTGGTCCAAGTGGCTCAGCTTTTCTGTTAAGACTGTGCAGCTATGGTTTTTGCCTCCGAAAAACAACCCAGACATATTCAAACACATGCTTACGGCATAGTGAGGGGCAGCATTTGCAGACCCAGATATTTCTTATTTGAAAACACCATTCCTGGAAAGGAAAGTTACGATGTGTTACAACAAAACCTCTTTCCTGTTACTGCAGCTTAACAGACACCCATGTCCCAGGATCTCTTTGCCATCATAGCTATCCTTTTAGGTTACCTGGATGAAACACAGGCTTCAGAGAACCTTTGTCATTAGCACTTTTACACTCCTCCCACCCACCTCCTGCCTCCAGCCCCTGGGTTTCATTTCCACATTAGCTCAATCCAAATATTTCTGGGTACAACTCATGCTTGGTTTGTGCCTAGTCCCCCAAACAGTGCTGCTCAAATCACCATTATAGGAGCTGCGTACAAGTGAGTGACCCAGTAGTCTACAGGATTCAAATGGCTGTCTCTGGGCCAGGCATGGTGGCTCACACCTGTAATCCCAGCATTTTGGGAAGCCAAGACAGGCGGATCACTGGAGGTCAGGAGTTCAAGACCAGCTTGGCCAACATAGTGAAACCCCATCTCTACTAAAAATACAAAAATTAGCTGGGTGTGGCAGTGGGTGCCTGTAGTCCCAGCTACTCGGGAGGCTGAGGCAGGAGAATTGCTTGAACCCAGGAGGCAGAGGTTGCAGTAAACCAAGATCGCGCCACTGCACTCCAACCTGGATGACAGGCAAAATTCTGTCTCAAACACAAAAACAAAAAAATTGCTGTCACCACAAAAGATTGAATGTTCCTGAAAAGCACGAGGAAACAAACAAAAACATCCCAACTTGCTTTACCTGTCAACTGGCGCTTATGGAATTCTTCCAAGAACGGCCTAACTCGATCTGAAGGAATTGCAAAGGAGATTCCTTCAGTCACTCTCAATGAATTGACGCCAACCACATCACCATCCTGGCAAGGGAGGGGACATCATTCAGTCATGAAGTTTTGCAGACTGACGAGTGCAAGACCAGAACATACAGAGGAAGGAGTGAAGCTAGTTACTTAGGGTAAGAAAACCGGGCAGAGAGGAACTTTGTACTTCTTCAAAAGAGAGCAACGGATGTTCCTTTATAGGGCAAAGGGCAACTGCACATGCACAGAAGTTACCTTTTTTTCATGGCCAAAGGATCAAGGATGCTGAGGATTTTTTAAAATCTGGAGCTCGGCCGGGCACGGTGGCTCACGCCTGTAATCCCAGCACTTTGGGAGGCCGAGATGGGCGGATCATGAGGTCAGGAGACCGAGACCATCCTGGCTAACACGGTGAAACCC